TATTACGTAATATTACAGTTTTCTTACGCTTCGTAAATTATTGCGCAATATTACGCCCTATTAAATTTGCTGATGTACTAGCACTCAGAAAGATATACACCTTTAATAAGCTCCATGATAGCTACTTTGAAACTCAACTACTTCTTCTTTCTGATCACCCCTCGAAACTTAACAATGAAACCAGGAACCTTTTTCTCTATTATCGAAAGATCAAAGCTTTCTTACCTATCACAATTTTGTCAGAAACTAACTAAATACTATATTGTTGGCAAAGAAATTCTACTATTTTACTTTAACTTACCACCTGTAAAACCCTATTTACCTAGCACATCTCAAAATCTCAACTTAGCTACTTGTCACCTATTTCTATGTAACCCCATTGACTCAACCAATTTTTGATGTATAGTTGAAATCTTATATCAACACTACAGCTTCAAACAAATTCTATCAGACTTCTTTATACAAAAGTTGATTTTGGGTCAAAATCCCAAACAACAGATTATTGAAAGAACATAATATCGACTAAATTGGCCAGCATTATAGCTAGTGCCGGCTAACTTTGTCAGTATTACGTTCTTTCGGGGATCTGTTTTTCAGGATTTTGACCCAAATTCACAAAAGTTACCTCTCCCAACAAACCTATCACAAATTGACACAAGGAAAAAATTCTCATTCCCTATCAACGATGTAATCTTGGCAAAAGAATTCATAGCAGCAATACAAAACAAATACCAGTTACTCCCTAAGACTTACATATTAGTTAACCCTACAGACAAACCGGAACTTCCTCAGAATGCAGACAAGGTGAAATTAGTCAATCTGACTACACCAGTAACAAGCCCAAGAGTCCTTGTAGAAACTGCTCACTTACTAAAAGAACACTATTTTTTTAAACAAATCCCAGCAAACTAGATTTAAATCCAAAATAAATCCTCAACAGAAACGGACCAACCCCCTCTGCCTCACACCATAGAGGAGATTAGAGCAATTACTAACCACATAACCCTACCTGAACATGTCCAACTTTCAGCTACTACACAACATCAAATTGAAACCACAATCACCTTTTTATATACACACTTCACTTTCAGAGGAATTTCATCTCATTAATATTCCTAAACTTCCAGCACCTAAATGAGAACTTTTTAACAACTACGTTTCTGATGAATGAATTTACCAACCTATATAATCAACTATTATATGAAGATGTGCATATTCATAATACACCTACTCTCTCTTTTACTACACCTACACAATCTCAAAACAATACTATTCCCAACCCATCTACTAATTTTACTCCCTTATCAGCAGGACTAAAAATAGTTAACTACAACGTTCAAGGTCTTAATCAATCAACCAAGCTGCAATTATGGCTGGAAGAGTGCCACAGCCAAGATATAGACATAATAGTAATGACAGAAACCAAACTGGCAGCAACATTAGCAAGATTTCACCTGTTAAACCCACTTTACAAAATATATACCTCAAATTGCAACTTAGACAATGCAACAATTAGGGAATCGTCTAGGGGCGTTGCAATTGGACTCAAACCCTATTTACAACCCTATATCCACATAATACAAGCTAATTCAGGATTTGCCCTAATGATTGATCTATTCTTATCAAACAATAAGACATGACTTATAGCAATATATTTACTATCTCAAATTACTGCACAATCTAAAGTGATAAAAACTGAAGTTTTGATATGGATAACTCAAAGCATTTAACATAATTGTAGCAGGTGACTTTAACAACAACACCAATTATAATCATTTTCAGAAACAATATTCCATCTTACAAGAGATGTCAAACTTGGGCCTCATCAGCCTCATGCAGCTTCAGGGCAATACCAGTCCCACTTGGGCAAGAGAACCCTTATCTAGCCAAATTGATGATATTTGGACGAATCCCCAAATTGTATTTACATTTAGTAATATCATATTACAAGACCAAGCTACAACTACTCATAGCGACTATAAATCATTGTTCACTTCATGGCTAAGACCCAAACCACTACATTACAGAGTAAAAAACAATATAGATGTGTTTTTGATTACAAGACAATGGATACTAACAGCTAGAACAATTTTGCGAAATACATTACCTACTATCTTACTAACTCATCCTATATCGCCATACCAATTGTAAACAAGGAAGCACTAAATAGAAGCTGGAATAACTTTAGCAATATTATTAGATAGGCAGTGATTAAATATGTAACCAACTCCACTAAGTACAATATCTATAGCCAACCTCACTCATTTGACACCACTACCAAACATAAAGGCTTGAGAAGAATAAACAATATAATTAACACTCTTAAACAACCCACACTCTTCTTTTATAATTACATAGTTCATTTAACCAACATTAATCTAAAACAAGCATGTGAATCACTTGAGCAAGAGCAAATACAACTCAATATAGAAGATTTTGAAATGGCCAACTTCCAAATCATAATATTTAAACTTAAAGAAATCCACAAAGTAGCATACAACACATGGCAAAATGAGAAAAACAAAGCACAAACAGAAAGGATCTCATCTCTTATCAAAAAACGATATACAAGTTTTGCAGAGAATACTACTGTAATGATAAATAGCATATTACATTGATTCAAAACACCTATTACCTATCACAATATTACAACATCCACACAAATGATCACCAAACCCAAAGAAATACTAATTGAAACAAAGAAACATTTCAAAACCTGGACCAAACACAATCCACCCAATACAATGCTATGGCAAGAATGGCAGAAATACTATAAACCAAAAAAGAACTTATTTAGCAATCTATATGATAAATTAATGTTACCAGTCTTCAAGAATATAGTCATTTCAACCATAAAACTCGCACCTATTAACAAAGCTGCTGGCTCTACCCTTATCTCTAATGAAATGTTAAACAAACTACCTACGGCAGCAATTACACATCTAACAAAAATTATCAATGCCTGCATTACCCTAAAAACAATCTTATCTCAATGGCACAAGGGTGTGGTATGGCCTATACCCAAGTCAGACTACTTACCTGTAGAACTTGCCCTATCATCTTAATTGAATATCTACGCAAAATTCTTATCAAAATACTCACCAACTGACTACACCACAGCCTACTACAAACCCAAGTACTAGACCTGGCTAACAATGTTGTCCTCCTATATCAGTCGCACGATTTGTCACACTATTTTGCTTGTAAATTTTTTATTTTTTTTTTTAATGTTAAAGGGCTTGTAAATTTTTATATATATAAACTTATAAAAAAAACATATAAAATTACTATAAACTTTGATTTTGTGATGTTTCTTCACCTACATATTAATTTAAAATTAAATTG